GACCGATCATCACGATCAGCTCAAACTCTCTTCAATTGTTAACGAACGACAACGTTCTGGACTGCCATCAAGCAGCATTCGAATTGACGTTAAGGAGATATCACTCTCTTTGGGTGGAAGAAAATTGAAATTAGTTCTGCCATGTCTGAAATTCGAAAGCCACAGAGCTTGTGTAGCTCCTCTCTCTCGCTGAGTTTATTACTCCATACATCGTCGTTCACATTAGGGTAATGAACAAGTATACTGTTAATTTCAAATCCTACCACGATGGAACAACGATGTTATGAAATCGACCTCAATCGATAATTGGATGAACGACTTGCTTTGTTGCTTCGAAGGCATGTTATGACCTATCATTCAGATTACTTAACTCATACTGTTTCGATCAATTACAATGTTCTTGATTCAGGTTATAGAGGAGAGAAATGGAAGCTGAGAAAGGAGACGTACCGTCCATAGATAGGAAGGTAGAAGAGAATCCTTTCCCGTTTGAGCTTCTCCCTCTTAAACTCAAAGAGAAGATTCTGGAGAGAGTGATAGATGAGACATCGGACTACTATGAGTTCAAGGTTTTCCTGAAAAGGATATGGAAAGTTATGATTGTTTCAGAAATTTTGGAGATTGAAACGAGTGAACAAGGAGTTCTACACTATCTTGAGTAGTGAATATGCTAAACGTCATTTTCTCAAATACCCTTGTTCGATCTCGATACACGATGGCAATCAGAAAATTTGGTCAGGTCGAACACTGGCTAGTTTGAAGATCACTTACCCGGCTACTCGCAGAGACATGTCATATTCGAAAATGAATGACGATATCCTCAATAATGGGGTTATGCTCGTGCACCGCTGTCACACACTCTTCTTCGATGACATTCCAAAATTCTTAAGGTTTGCGCTCTCATGGAATCTTCTTTTCATTTTCGTTTTCAGAGCTAGACCGTTTCGCATAGATTTAACTATAGTTGATCCTTTGTACACAACTGATCAGCAATTATCTGCTATCGTGGAATTAGCAAATCAATCTTCCGAAGTATGTTAATGATTTAGTGATCTATAATCCAAATTTTCAATAGAAAACTCCCGTGGTCATTTTCACCTGTTTTCATGACCTTGGTCTCGGGTTCGATCTTCATGATTCAGACAAACTTACTGATGCTCTTCGTAAATCCTACAAGAAGATACAAAGAAGACTGGGAGAGGGTCCCGCAGCTGGAAAAATCCAACTTCACTATGATAAACAATTTTTCGATCCCTCAATTTTCTTGAAATAGTGTCGATCCTCATAAGTGACGATGCGGCGCTTCGTAGGAAAGGTTCTTCACTCCAATTGTTGTATTAATAAACGTGTGATCCACTGCCTGCTTCTTGAGTTTTCCCGAACTATGAGGGATGTTCCTATCATGTTTATACTTNCTGCCTGCTTCTTGAGTTTTCCCGAACTATGAGGGATGTTCCTATCATGTTTATACTTAACTAATGCACTGATATGAGAATACAGATCAGCCTTTGCTCCATTGCCTATAGGACGAAAGCCTAAAGTGCTGATGTTAACCTCATCGACAGTACGGATCTTTCGAAAAAAATTTCTTTTTATACAACTCGACACGCAATTGGAAAACAGATTTTGTTTATTTTTTTGACTTTT